AATGCGAAGCCTGAGAGCGCAATGCAGACCGACGCTGCTAGTACGGCGCCGTCGGTGCCGCCACTGCAGAGCGTGGATCAAGAGATGCGTGACGCGCCGGATGTTCCATCCTCCCCGACCAAGGTTTCGAGGGAGCGTGAGCGTGATCCTAGCGACGAGCCTGCCGCCAAGCGTACCAAGATCGGAGGGGAAGGTGCGGCGTCAGCCGAGTTCAAGGTGCCTGATTTGCCTACACCTAGCGAGGCGCGCTCGGAACGGGCTACAAATGGAGAAGCAACCATGACTAAGGTTCAGCACAAGTTCCTCTCCAAGTCCATCCAGAGCTTGAAGCGGATGCACGATTCCCGCTTCTACAGAGAGCCCGTGGATCCCATCAAGTTGAATGTCCCCCATTACCCGCAATTTATTAAACGGCCCATGGACCTTGGAACCATCGAGAAGAAGTTGAAAAACAACAATTATCGGACTGCACAGGCCGTTATTGATGACTTCAACCTTATGGTGCAGAATGCGCTGACATTCAACGGTCCCGACCACCTTGTCGCCCAAGAGGGGCAGAAGCTCAAGATCACCTTCGATAAGCAGATGGCCAATCTACCACGAGCCGATGAGGTGGAGGAGAAGAAGCCGAAGAAGTCTGTTGCTAAGCCCTCGACAGCAGTCCGTCGAGATCACCGCCCCGCTCCGAGTCCTAGCACGGCACGCGCCACGGGCGCTTCTCCCCAGGCGACGACGTTTGCTTTGGGTCCGGAAGGCCTTCCTTTGATCCGCCGCGATTCTGCTAATGCTGACGGGCGTCCGAAGCGTTCTATCCATCCTCCGAAGCGCGATCTCCCGTACTCCACGAAGCCGAAGAAGAAGAAGTACCAGTGGGAGCTGAGATTCTGCCAGGAGGTGCTGGACGAGCTGCACAAGCCGAAGCACTACACCTACGCGATGCCTTTCTACCACCCCGTTGATCCTGTTGCGCTCAACATTCCTACGTATCATAGTATCATTAAGAAGCCCATGGATTTCTCTACTGTGCAGAGCAAACTCAGGGCCGGCCAGTATGAGAATGCCAAGGAGTTCGAGCTAGATATGCGCCTCATCTTGAAGAACTGTTTTAAGTTCAACATCCCGGGCGACCCGACCTACATGGCGGGCCAGCGGCTCGAGGAAGAATTCAACAAGAAGTGGGCTCAGAAGACACGTTATCTGGAGCAGCATGAGCCGCATGTCGAGCATCACAGCGCAGAGTCTTCTGAAGAAGAGAGTGAGGAGGACGCCGAAGAGAGCGACTACGATGCCGAGAAGCTCAGCCTGCTGCAGAAGCAGATGGAAGAGATGACCCGCCAGATCGAAGCTATTACGAAGAAAAAGAAGACCCCGCCGGGAAGCAAAAAGCTCGGGAAGACCAAGCCGTCGAAGAAGGAGAGTAAGAAGCCTAGCACTATGGGGCTCGCTAAAAAGGAGAGCAAGAAGAGCACCACCAAGGTTTCAGCCAAACCGGAGAAACAGCACTGGGTCACCTACCACGAGAAGCAGATCATTTCCAACGGGATCAGTAGCCTTCCTGACAAGAAGATGCAGGAGGCGCTCAAGATCATCCAGACTAATGTCCCTGCCCTCAAGGTAAGTTATTTGCTTAATGTGATCTTACTTTCTATGCAAGGCCTAACACGTTCTGCAGGGTACCCAAGAGGCTGAAATCGAGCTCGACATTGATGAGCTTCCTAACGACGTTCTCCTTATGCTACTTCGGTTTGTCAAGAAGAACGCGCCGCATGTGGTAGAGGAGGATCCTGCCTCTGCGGCAGCGGCGAACGCGGCCGCCCCGAAACCGAAGAAGAACAAGCCCATGAGCAAGTACGAGCAAGAAGCTCAGATCAACATGCTCGAAAGCAACTTGTCTCGGTTCCAAGGTGGTGGCGGAGGCCGTTCTCCAGACCCTATGCCCTCGGTCGAAGCCAACGAGAGCAGCGACGACTCTGAAGATGATTCGGAGGAGAGCGAGGAGGAGTAAATGATTGCTGCCTCTGGCAAGCTATGTTGTTCTTCTGTTTGCTGGGCCTGTGCCTCATGACTTCAGTAGTTAATTCCCACTGCGTGTTACGCCATGGTCTTTTTCTTCCACCCGCTAATGAGCTTTGTTTATCTTCTATCACTCTACTTCTGTTCCTAGCGATTGTGTTTTCATCTCATTTTCTTTTTTATTTTCCATGTTGGAGGACAGTGCGATCGGTGTTGAGCCGTGCACTTGTACATAAGGGTGCTATTTGGGGGAGATTTGGAGGATGTTTGATGACCAGCAGCACAACCGGATGATCCCCTTTGATGAGCTTGCGTGGATCTCCTATGAGCTGAGGGACGTCGAGTTCATCAGCAACGAGGGTGAGGTCGGATGCGGAGAGAAGCATGCTGGAAAGGCTAGGTGCGTGTATGATTACGAAAGGAATGTGAAAACGGAAGCGAAAATTCAGCTTTGTATTATGATATGATATTTATTCATTATGGTTCTTGTAGAGTGTAGGCCATGCTCTATCGACATGTTATGTACTGTAGATCGCCAGGTCACGGGGATGAGGCGGTGGCCGCCCGATTGCTCGCCGCCTGTTGGTAGATGATGCACTTCCACCTGCGACAGCTTTACGCGCAGCCCCTGCCATAAAACATGATCCCGCCATGCGATCCGGTCATTCTTGACAACAACCCTCAATTCAAGAGACTTTATACCCACCTGACGACGACTCTCTTGAACCCCGATGGCTCCACTCGCGCCCAGGATGCGCAACCCGCTAGACAAGCTGTTGTGGAAGTGCGTCTCACCTCATGATCGTAACACCAGGTCGCGCCATCCACTTTTGAATGGTACTCTGACCCTGGCATACCGTATAGGAAGTAAAAGCCTGCCGGATACGAGACGCGAAAAAGCAAATCAAGAAGCAAGCCTTGCGACGGCTGGCATTCGACCCGGACAGCGGAGTACCCGACGATGTTAGCAACACCAACCCACTCAAGGGAGATGAATCAGGCTAACGATTGATTCATTCAAGTGCCGAGACCCCATAGCCATCATAACCCTCTACCTCGAATCCTCCCCCGAGTTGCTCCAGCTTGACGACTCCCACGATGCAGCAACAGACGCGCAATTACTCCTCGCGCCCGACATCGACGACTTCTACTCCAATCTTCCTCTCCTAGCCACTCCGCTATCTAATGTCCTCACCACAACACTCAACGGCCTCCGCACAATAGCCAACGCAGGATCATCCGACTCCGCAGGCCCCGGATCTACATCAACACCCAATGAACCGCCCCGAACAACCCGCGCACGCAATCGCCAGGCTATGCTTAGGTCCGTCGCGCAGGTGCCGCTCGCCTCACAGTTCGAGAACCGGATTCGCGCTTTGCGTAAAATACAGTTGACGGAAATTCCGGCGGCTCGAACCCGGATGGCTGCGACGGCGGCGGAGGTGCTCGCGACGCGGGCGGCCGTGCTGGAGCGCACGGTGATGCTCTTAGAGAGAGCGAAACATGGGGCGATGGCTCGGGCGGCGAAGGCGAAGGCGGACCATTTGCTGGCGGTGGCGCAGGGAATAGAGGGGAAGCTTAAGTATGTCTACATTGGAATGGGGTGGGAGAACAGGGGCTAATATGATATGACCGCAGTCTTACGAAACTGGATATACTCGCGACGATACATACACCGGAGGTGGTGGATGCGCTGCAACGGTATTATCAGCACCTTCAGAATACGAGGGAACGGCTAGAGGAGCGACGTGCGACGGCTTTGGAGGAGTTGAAGGACTACGAGAATATTATTGATGGAGCCGTGCGCGGACCGATGAAGGAGCTTGCGCGACAATATGGATCGTTGATACAGGAGGTAGAGGATGTGAGGATGGAGATTGAGCAATTGCATGTATAGACTTAATTTATGATAGATACCTTGACACGAACATACGCCAATAAATACATAATAACATTACCCTTATATCTTAACTAGTACAACTACTTAAGTAGGTAGTATACAGCTAAACAACGAACCAATCACCAACCCCGCAATCACCTGACCCCTCCCGCCAAAAGTTTTCTTTTTTGCCATCCACTCACTGATAACGATAGTAGCCCACTTTATTCTTATACTCAGGAACCACACCACCCCAACTTTCTATTTCTGTTCCCCCTCAGAAAACCAAGCAAAACCCCATAAAATAAAAGGGATAAGAAAAAATGGCCGACGACTCCATCTCCATCTACGACGAGATCGAAATCGAAGACATGACCTTCGACCCGGTTCTCCAGATCTACCACTACCCGTGTCCCTGTGGCGACCGCTTCGAAATCGCCATTGATGATCTCCGTGACGGCGAGGATATTGGTGTTTGTCCCAGTTGTAGTTTGATGATTAGGGTGATTTTTGATGCGGTAATTTCCCCTCTTTCTTTCTTTCCCCTTTCCGTCTTGTTTCTTGAGAATTCGCTATGTATAAAACTGTTATGCTGATGATGCGGGGTTTGCGTCTAGGCCGATCTTCCCAAGGACGGTGATGATAAGAACGGGTCGGCGGCGGTTGCTGTTCAGGCTTAAATGTTGGGAGTTATCGCTTAGGGTTAAGCCGATTAAGTTGATTTGATATTGGGATTCTCTACATTGGGTTGGATTGGATTGGATTGCTCGCGGACGATTGCTTTCCGATACCTCGAACAAACGACGAGTGTGCTTTGCGACAAAGTGTTCACTGCGAGATGTGTGTCGACTACGAGGACGTCGCTCGATGTTGATATCGGTGGGTGATGTCATGGCTTGAGCAGCAGCCACTCAACATACGATATGCAGCTTGCTGCGCTAAAGAGCGAGTGCAGGCGCAGAGCCGATGCCGCGCCAGTATGACACGGGCGCATGCGACGCAAGATATCTAAATCTGCGTGACAGCGCAGGCTGAATGGGTCAACGATGGAAGAATGGATTAAGATACCACTTGGATATATACGATGTTATCTGCGCACAAGTAGTCTACGCAACGAGTACCGCGCCGAACTGTATTATCTACTACCAGGCACTACAACACTAGATAACTAGCAGTCACTCACACACATCAATCCATATCCTACACTATCTCTCAACCGCCCGTCCGTAGACATAAAGCCAACCACCTCCCGGTGCGGAGAAAAGAAGCAGCAGCAGCAGCCTACTCCAGAACCTCACTGTACACATCCTTCGGCAAGTTGAGAGTCAACTCATGGTTCAACAAATCCGTGAGATTGGACCCATCCCGGAGATAGATCCACTGCCCGTTAATAAAAGGCCTGGACTCCTGCTTCTCATGCATTTGATCACCCTCCACCACCCAATCGTACCGCTTGGGGCCGGAAATCGGCGAGCTCAACCAGATCTGCTTGTTGGGGGGCTGCTTGTTCAGCACGTAGGTGCCTACACCGGGGACGCTGATGTTCATGACGCCGGCCTGTAATTCATCATCCATCATTGTCAGTTGAAATGTTTTCTTCTCTTCGGTAACGTCACTCAGAATTATCATGGGAACCTGAGGAATAACGAACACTATACTCAGCTTCAATATCCGATCCCTCCTCCTGGACCTTCTCAATCTCATATTGCAGCACATCCAAGTAGTGTTCCGCGTGGTCATGGTACTGCGCATCCGTCAACGGGGAAGGCTCGGTAACGTGGGTGGCTGCGCCGGCGACATTGCTGGATTCAGGGTGCGGAGCTGGAGGGTCTGCAGAGTCGGGGAAGATGCCTTTACGGGGAGCTGAGGTGGCGTGGAAGCATCGACGGGGGAGCTGGGGTTGAGGTTGAGGTTGGAGCTGGAATGGTGTTGCTGTTGCGAAGCGGGCACCGACGCGGAGGGAGGGACGGGCGACAGTTGCAGCGGCGGGGGAGAGGATTGCTCGGGGGAGACGGGAGTACATGGTTGGATTCATTGTGCTGGTTTGATTGAAAGTGTGGTGGTGGTGGGAGAAGAAAGGGAAAAGAGGAAGAAGAAGAACAAGAACAAGAGAGGAAGAAGTGATGGCATCACATCATCGAGTGCGGAGCGGAGCGGGCTGTCATTGGCTGGGGAGAGAGCTATACCTTTTAGTCTGTCAGCTTCATCATCCATCCATCTTCCTTCTTACTTCTTCTTACATCCACTCTCTACATTGCTTACTACCTTCTCCGTTTTATGTGAGTCATTCGGACTTATTTCTTGACTCAATGCGCCCCTGCAGGTCATTTAGACCCTGTCTCGTAACCCATACAATACTACTACAGCAATTCCAACCCCGACATCAGCTCCATCTGCAGCTCATCCTCCCACTCTCCCTCCCTCGATTCTACCATCACCATCACCACCACCACCACAAAACCATGTCCAACCCACGACCCAAACCCAATCAAAAGAAGGAAAAACGTCCCCCACTCACCCACTTCCTCTGCCTCCCCCTCATCAACGCCACCTCCCTCCCCCAACTCGAATCCTCCCTCGCAACTTTCAAAGCCTCGGTCCCAACTCTCCAACCTCAACACCAACATGAACATGGACATGAACACCACCAACATGCACGTCAACCCCAACCACTCATCCCCCCCTCCGCCCACCGCCCAGTCGGCACCCTCCACCTCACCCTCGGCGTAATGAGCCTCCCCACCCCAGACCGTCTCTCCCAAGCAATCCACTTCCTGCACTCCCTCGACCTAGAAGCCATGCTTCGCGAGACCCAATCCTCCTCACCACAAACACTACCATCAGACCCAACCCCACCAGCCTCTCCATTCCTCATATCCCTCGAATCCCTACACGCCATTCCTCGCGCAAAAGCAGCAACCGTTCTGCATGCCGCGCCCGTGGATCCCACCAACCGCCTGTATCCGTTTTGTGTGAAGTTGAGGGATAGGTTTCTCGAGGAGGGGTTTTTGGTGGGGGATAAGCCTGCAGAGAAGCCTGCGGAGAAGCCTGCGGAGGTGGCGGTGGATGTAGGTGGTGGTGGTGAGGAGCAGCAGGAGCGGGTGGATTTGGCTGCTGGGGATAGTGCAGAGATGGCGCCTGCGTCTGTCGGATCTAAGCCCAAGGTACGGCCGTTGTTGCTGCATGCTACGATTGTGAATACTATTTATGCGAAGGGGAAAGGTGGTGGTCATGGTGGGAGAGGAGGAGGTAGAGGTGGTGATGGCAGGGGTGATAAGAGGAAGAGGCAGTATACGTTTGATGCGAGGGACATTCTTGCTAGGTATCGTGATTATAACCCGCCTGGGGAGGGTTTGGAGAGTACTGGGACTGTTCCTAGTCTGGGGGTCATTGAGAATGAGGGCTCTGGGTCAGGTTCAGGCTCAGAGGGTGAGAGCGGTCTTTCCAAAAAGAAAGGCACGCCCTTCGTCTGGGCGAGGGATTTCCCTATCGAGTCGGTATGTATCTGCGAGATGGGCGCGAAGAAACTCGTGCCTGATCTGAATGGTAAGGATGAGGGCATGAATGCGCGACTAGGGGAGAAGTATCGCGTCGTAGCGGAGAAGAGTCTGCTATTCGGTTCGTGATATCTTAAATATCATGTTTGGCTAAGAGCAGACAGCCACAGCAGCAGCAGCATGTACATACATAGTCTACAACCAGAATGATGTGTAAAAAGTAACAAAAGTAGATAAAACGCCAAACACCACGCTGAAAGACACACAACCTCTCAACCACCAAACCAATAACCCCAACTACCTCACCTTACTCATCAGCGTCTCCATCCCCCTCTCAACCGACAACTCGGCCGCCTTGGCCTTAACAGCACTAATCATACTGCGCTCGAAATCATCCCTCGTCCTCAGCACAGCCTCAACCCACGAGAGCTGCAAATCCCAATACTCGGTCTTGAAGTTCTCATAGACAGCGACGAGAGCAGGTCCCTTCTCCGACTCCAACAATCTAACCAACCAATCCACCAACCGCCACTTCATCTTAATCGTACCGGCAAACGAATCCGGATAATTCTGGAAGAAAGCAAACACCGTAAGGACATCATCCTTGAATTTATCCGTGTAAGGGTCGGTATTATGGCGGAACTTGACACCCTTGTTGCGCACAGACGAGAGGTATTTGACGAGGAGCTCGTCGGAGAGTTCCTCGACCAGGATATCCGTAAGAGAGGGGTGCAGGACGGGAGAGTAATCGGCCATGTAATCTTCGAAGGTCGAAGTGATCCGTTTGACAGCGAAATCGCCGTACCATTTCTGGGTGAAGAATTCGGGGATAGTGGTGCGGAAGTCGACGGCGAAGATGAGTTCGACGAACTGGGTGAGACAGTGGGTGCTGAGATCGACGTAGCCGTCGCGCAGGGCGTCGAGTTCCGGGATGGCTCGGGAGGCCATGTACTTGGGGTCGACGATGTTTTCGAAGTCGCGTTTGAAGCGGCTGAGGTGGCCCAGTTGGCCGGTTTCTTCGTTGTCGTCGATGCAGGCGATTTGGTCGTTGGCGACGGCGACGAGCCAGTCCTGGAGGAGTTGGAGGCCGTCGAGGAGGTCGCCGCCGGGAGCTTTGTATTTGGCGCATTCTTCGTCGATGAGGGTTTGCCAGGCCACTTGGCGGGCTTTGAGGACGCGGAACATGGCGTCGATAATGCCCTCGACGACGTCGGTGCGGGAGGAGGCGCCCGAGGCCATGATCTGTTCGTGTAGCATGCGCCACATGTCTGGGAGGGTTTTGGTGCGGAAGCAGCCTTCTGGGTTGGTGTCGAGGGAGTCTGGGATGCGTTCGACGAGTCCCTTGCGGTCGGTTTCGGTGATGCGGTTGGTCCAGTCTTCCACGGCGCGGATGATGATGTTTTGCCATTGGCGGATGAGTTCGGGTTCGCGGTCGTCTAGGATGTTGGGCTTGAGGTCGGCTTGTTTCCAGCCGAGCTTGTTCATCTTCTTATAGTATTTCTCCGTCCAGTGGATGATGGCGAGGAGGTTGTCGGCGGGTAGTTCGGGGTCGTTGATCAGCCCGATGAAGAAGTCGTGCATCATCCGGTGGTAGATCTCCGTGTAGGTCTTGTAGATCTTCCATTTCTTCGGCATCAGCGGCTGCATGCCTTGCTGCACGGTGTAGAGGTCGTTGAAGAACCAGCGGAAGTTCTTGTCGAGGTTGTCCGGCTCGGCCAGGAAGTCCTCCTTGGTTGCTTCGAACTGGTTCTGCGCGTAGAACTCGATGGCCTGAAGGAACTTCTCCTTGTATCCTCGAACCGTCTTCGGTCCTACATTCATCGACTTAAACCGGTCTGCCAGGTCCTGGTGATCCTTCTGCGCCTCCTGCAACGCCCGCACCGTCTGATCATTCTTCTCCTCGTTCATGACCACAACCGCCAGCCGGACCACCATCCCAGGGTTATCCGACTGCACCAACGGGATCAAGTTCATGCACGCCGTACCAAGGTGATCATCAAACCAATCAACCACCCCATCCAGCCCCTGGAAGTAATCCGCCAGAGTCTCCTCACTACTTGGATCTTGCGCCTTGCGTATCTGATCCATAGCCTCGTCTCTGAAATCGCGCAGCTTCGAAATCTGCATATGAGCCCTTAGCAAATTGGGCTGATTCTCTAGATCCTCATCATCTTCGCGCAGAAGATCCTCAACCACTGCCAGATTCTCACTGAACTCCTCCAGCCCCTTCTTCATCGTCAACGTGGCCTCGAAGTTCCTTTGCACCTTGGCCAGCTTGTCGATCTGCGAGAAATCCTCCACGCTCGTTTGCGACTCGGCGCATAGTTTATCGATGCCTTGTAGCTCGTCTTTCGTTTTCGAGACCTGTCGCTGACCTTCCGTGAGGGCGTTGATGCTGCGCTGCACGGTCTCTAGTTGGTCGCGCAGACCCTCCCGTAGCTGAGAATCAACAGCCGCTTTCTTGCGCGAGTATTCGGCTTTCAGACCCATGATCTTGTCGAGGTCTTCAGGGTGGCGGAGGATGTCTTCTAGACGGGGCATGGCCACCGTTCCGTTGTCGTCTCGCGCCATGGTTTGTAGCTGTCGCAGTCTCGAAGTTCACGGTATAGTCGTTCAATGAGTCCGTATCACCGCAAGTATGTATGCAAAGCCGACTAGGTACTACCACACCACCAACAAGTATAGTCCAAACAACCGACCGATGGTGGTCAGCTATAGTAACAGCTAGACCATAAGCTAGCAGCAATTATCCCCTCCTAAACGCGCAGCGCTCCGGGGTATATCTGCATACCATTCGGACCATTAGCATGATAGCCTCCCAGCATAAAGTCAAGAGACAAACTCACCAATGGCTCACCGAGCCAAAGAATGTTCCAAAATGACAATCGTTACAAAGATACACAGCAAATAGGTAAGTAGCATAGCAAGCATACTAAGTAGTAAATGCCACCCGCATTTCCCGCCCGCCAACCCGCCAACCGGCAGAACACATCCATCACGTGACTCCCCGCCCAGCTACGCTACCGCCATCGGGAAATTTGCGGAATCAACAGCAAAAGCATCCCAGCGAGCAGCATTCGCAAGCACAGAGAACAACTCCACATCCTACATACCAACAGCGTCATTGAGCGTCTACCTTACGATCCTCCGAAACCTTCCTACCAAGTACCTCCGAACCAAACAAACAAACAAATCCACAAACCGCCAAAATGAGCAGCTACTTCCGCGTCACGCTCATGCGCTCAGCAATCGGTCTCCCACGCCGCACCAACGACGTCCTAAAAGCCCTCGGCCTGAAGAAGCGCATGGCTACCGTCTTTCACCCCGTGTCGCCGTCTGTGGCGGGTCAAATCATGAAAGTCAAGGAATTGGTGCAGGTGCAGGAAGTCGACCGTCGACTCACGAAGCAAGAGGTGCATCTCGAGCGCAAGCCCGATCCGGGATACTATGTTGAGAAGACCTCGGGGGTGGAGTTTGAGGAGAATAGATTGGCTTGAGTGATATCCATCTCTAGGGAATGAGGTGGACTGTTGGTGTTTTCGATTCGGCTTTTTTGCGGAATGGTTCGTTTTGAT